AAACCCTTCTCTTCTTCAGGCTGAACAAGCCCAGCTCTCTCAGCCTGTCTCCATACGGGAGGTTCTCCAGCCCTCTGATGATCTTTGTAGCCCTCCTCTGGACTCACTTGAGCAGGTCCACATCCCTGTTGTATTGGGGGGGGCCCAGTGTTGTCCACCTGGGCCCAGCCCAACAAATAAATATGAAAGAGGGATGATGTTACTTTCTGGAAATTCTTAAACTGCAACAACACCCTGTGTTGGTTACCTAGTTTGGGATCTTGTAGTGAATTATAGTCTTCGTCACACTGACTCTCCATTTCTTAGTGAGGATTCTTTCGCTCTTTTTAGAGTTCTAGCATGGATTTAACTGCAGGATCAGGAGGTGATATGTAAAATGGCATTAGAGAGAAAAAGTGCTGAGACAATCCATTTGTAAGGCTATGATAGAGAAGCTGAAAGTAGGAGTGAAACCAGAGGATTAGTTTTTAAAAAACTTTTTGTGGTTTTGTGAGTCTGTAGAGATGTACAATTTTTGGCATTCTGATTCACCTGTGGTCATTATTAGTTAGAATGCAAAAATTTCCATAACTAAAAGTAATACAATAAAGTAATTGTTGATCAGCAGTTCAACACCCTTTCCATATTGCTTTATGTTTCCATTTCAGTTCTGTTTACTACACGGTCTTCAGAAGCATAGCTGTTGCTACTTATTCAATGAACAGGCAATGCTTAGCATCAGCAAAACACTTCCAGCTTTGTTTTGGTGTCTTACCAATGTTCCTAAGCTTAGGCAGTTGTGTCAAATTATTTTTCCATGACTCATACGAGTCAATTGAGCACTGATTAATTTCAGACTAGCCACTACATTTCAAGGTCATTTATGTGTTCAGATACACTGTATGTTTTGAAACATTGTCAATCCTGCTTTTGACATGATAGCAAACCGTGTCAGTTTATATGGGTATGCTGAAGGATACTTAGACATTAAAAAAAAAAAAAAAAAGAAAAGTAGGATTTTTTTTCTTCTAGGAAGCTCATGAAGGTGTCTCTGTGCTGTATTCTTATACATTAAGATGGAAGAAATTACTGATCTTGCGCTTCCTAGATGACACTGCTCTGGTGGGATCCTTGTTTTTTTGGTTTTAGCTGTTTTAAGACAGCCAGTCACTCAGTAATGGATCAGAACTCTTCATGTGCAACAGTGACACTCCTTGTGATTTTTTTTTAATCACATTTTGTATTTCTGCATATTAAATCCATCCCACTAGTTAAAACACACAGAATGACAACTTATTTCTGAAAAAGCCTTAACAGCTTCACAACTGAAATCAACAGACAGAGCAGTTTTTCTTTTGAAAAAGTCTCACTCTAGCTTTTAAAGTTGCCAGTACCACAACAGTAATAGGGCAAAATACAGCCATGTTCATAGTCATTTTATCACAGTCTGTAAATGGATAATGTAACCCTCATCCCAGTCGCTCAGTTCTTTTAGCCATCTAGGAAGTTATGCTCTATGGAAGAGAGAATGAAAAGGCATGGTGAAACAAATGCTCACCTGGACTTGCAGGTGAGCTATGAAAACCTTGTTGCTTTCACTTGTGCACCATATATCATACAAACCCTTATCAGAGGAAATATGGGTGTATGAGGACACACTCTAGTAAAAGCACTGCAGTAGTCCTAAAATAATTGATATCTGTGTAATGTGGGTATGCATCCATTTGCTCTGTAAACCATTAAAATCTGGAACTAGTGTTAGTCTTGCAATAGAATTGCAAATTTACCAAGAACCAAATGATCATTAGGTGATGTGGTTTTAATGTAAAGTGAGGGAAATCTTTCACTGATTAACTGATTTGGCACTAATGATGTTATAAACTGCCCAGAGGTCTGTTTCACTTTCCGTCTTTTTCTTGTGCTGTTTGTTCTTGGTAACTCACTATTCTTCCAGGTTGACTTAGGTAGAAGGAGGCAAGACTGTGATATTTTTTGATGGCTGAAGCATATGGCTGACAGAACTTATCACAGAATCTAATGAAGACTAGAGTGCCTTACTCAGCTCCTGGGCTATCTGCCTGTAATCTTGGTGTTACAGCAAGAACTCCATCCAGACCTATATTACTGTCTTCTGGCAGTGCAGCTGTTAAGTTGTAGAACACCCTGGATTCCATGAATATCCTTGTGCAGTCATATCAGAAATTCTTTATCCTCAGACTAAGATTTTTTACTATGGTGTAGTTTGGTCATTTGTTTTTGTGATTTGGTTTTGTTGTTTGTTGTTTTGGGGGTTTTTTTAAATGCCTGATTATCAGATTCTGTGCTGTTTCTCAAGCTCAGGTAGTTGTTGTTTGTTTAGCACGTAAGTTCTTTGTGATTTCTGCTTGTCACCTCAGCACTTTGGTGATAATTGGCTTTGCTTTTTGTTTTAATCTTTTTCTTGCTTCATGAATTCTTTTTCATTTGTCAAAGATGCAACTTTCACTATGAATTAGTCCCATGAAATCTTTGTTGCAGGTCTGTGGGATAAACACTTGATATGAAGAGAAGTCTTTCTTGGCTAAAGCAATGGATTTAAGATGTTTCATGCTGCTGTTTATAAAGAAAAAAATTGTGCTGAATTTTCACCTTAATGTGACCCTGATTTTTATCTAAACCAGCTGGCTAATCTGCGTATTTCTGACACAAAAGGGACATAGTAGTATCTCTGCTTGTTTAAATGGAAGCTGTTGCCTTGTCCCTTTTGTAATTGTAACCAGTCATTCTAATGGATTAATGTTTTTCCTTAATGCACTGTTTAATGTTTTCCTGGTGGAGCTTGTACAAATTCTGGCTAATGTACCATACTCTAATCAGCCTTTGGTTGCCACTCTGACTTCTTTCACCCCAAAAAGATACTCCTGGCTGGTACAGAAGGATTAACTAGTGTATTCTCTCTCTTAACTTGTGGCTGCTGACAATGGCTTATAGTGGCTTGCAAGGGTTTTAAATCAAGGGAAATTAAAGGAACACTTCTTTGGCTTCATTACTTTCCAGGCAAAACTTTAAACCTTAATAATAATTTATGAAAGACTGGATTCTTCAAGATGTGTATACGTGTCAATAGATTATAATTATGTAAAGCATTCAGAGTTTGACGTAACTATCTTGGTGTAAGAGTTGATGCAGAGATTCTACTTTCAATTCAGAGAGTGTTTCAGGCAAACCTGAGACTGACTGATCAACAGTTCAAGTAAGAACTTCTTTCTTGAGGTCATTCTCTACCTGGTCTTTATTAGTGGTATCTTCAAAAGTTGAAGCAAAATTACAAAATTACTTGATTTGGTTTGCCAAGTAATAGTAGTAGTAACACTTGTCACATCTCACAACCAAGTTCCGTAGTTGAGAATTTTGTCCACTCATCCAGTCTTTAATATTTTTATTTAAAATAATAAACATTTTCTTCCCTCCTTCTCCATTCTCCCAAAAAGTTGTTGGCCCTTGAAGTGCCATGCAAGTGAAATGACTTCTGGGTTTATATTGTTTAGAAGTTTGTGGTATTTAAAACATACAGCATATGTAAAGTTACAGAATTGTTTCAAATACTTATGCACAGGGTGGCTTCCTGGTTTGTAACATTACTGAATTCTAGGTAAAGGATATGTTTGTTTGTAAATCAATACATTTATAGTAACAGACCATGAAAAATAATGCTTCTTTAGGAGAACTAAAGTATGATCATAAAAACAAGATTTAAAAGTGTATGATGGCAGTCAGTTTTGACACTCAAGACCATTTGATTGAAAAATAATTTTAATTTCTGATCAGCCAAACAAACCTTCCTTTTCTGAAAAGTGCTGTTTCTGTTCAAAGTAGCACAGATCATAACATAAAGTGTCTTTAATTTCCATCAGTCTGGCATCGTGGGTGTACTGTGAGTCTTGGTTTTGTGATCCAGTAACTTTAGTTTGAAAACACTTGATGTTTGAAAGTTGTATCTCTTACTTTACTTATCCTTATTTCTGTTGGGATGTTTTGAAGGCCTGGAACAGACCCATGGGTAAACTAATTTTTGGCACAAAAGAACTTTGAATATCCTTATTTCTTGCCCAAATGAGAGCTTCATACCAAAAAAAGAAAACAAAAACAAAAAGCAAGCCCCACAACAACAAAAAACATACAAACAAAAACCCCCAAACAAACAAATGAAAAAAACAACAACAAAACAAATCAAACAAACAAAAAAAAAACCCAACCCAAAACCCAAGCAAATGGCTAAAATGCTTAGGGTTACTGAAAATCTAGGCTGTTCTTTTTCTGCTCCTCCTCCTGTCCCAGTGATTTAGAGAAATTTGCAGGGAAAAATTGCTTAGTGAAGAGAACTCGAAGTTGCCTAAACTTAAACTCTTACTTAGTTCAGGTCAATTCTGAATGGTTCATATTGTGTAACACTTACCTGTTAAAATAGTTTGAAGACTTTTGTTCTTCATGCAATTATTACATTAATAGATCGATGTAACAGCTGGTGTATGAAGGGATTCAACACCTTATTTTGTAGAAATAGTGAATACTGTGTTTCTGTGGGACTAGGGGGTGGAGGATTTGCTGCACAGTTCCTACGTCATTTCTACGTCTTACTGTGGTGAAAAACAGATTTGTCGTTCATTTCCTTCAGTATCAGTGTTGCAGCAGGTCACATCAGTATAATCAGAATGTCTGAATGTATTTGGCCGAGCAATTTCTTTCATGAGTCCCCAATATCCTGTGACTTCAGATCTATTCCTTGCCTGTATCTCTATATGAAACTTCCTGTTAAAATACAGAATTTGTAATACCGATATTCAAATTTTAAATGAGTAGAAATAGTGAACTCTGAACCTGAAAAGCTTTGCTGTGTAAATTCATGGGTGTAGTGGGAAGGTAAGATAAGGAAATGAGTATTTGTATCTCTGTATAAGCTTTGCTTTTGTTGCATTGCTCTGGAAACCTGCTTTATTCCTATGATCTGATTGAAAGTTGACTGTAATTGTAATCTGTTGCAGATGAACCAACACGTTCCTTGAGTGGTCTCATCTTGAAGAATAATGTAAAAGCACATTTTCACAACTTTCCCAACGGGGTAACTGACTTCATTAAAAGTGAATGTCTGAACAACATTGGTGATTCCTCCCCCTTAATTAGAGCTACTGTAGGTAAGTTTGCTTTTATTGCCATCTTCTGCATACTGAAAATGTTACTGATATGGGTGCGAGCTGCACTAAAGACATAAAGAGTTATCACTAATGACATAAAGAGTTATTAAACTCCTAAAACTCTTTGTTTCTGATAATTATTACAAATTCACCGTATTTTAATGCAGATATTCATCTTCAGTGTGAAGATGTACAGTGAATGTACAAAAGTCACACTTTATTTTGCTTTCTACTCTCTTAGAAATTATTTAGAAATTCAGTTTGTATCTCTTGAAATGTAATTGAACGTAAGTTTATTTGCATCTGTGAAAATTGAGCTTGCTGCCAGTTTCTATACCTAAACCCAGGAACAAGGTAAAGGTCTGACTTCAGGACTATTTCAGTACTCTGCTTGCATCAATGAAGTGCTTCTGTTAGCTGATTTCCTGTGCCCCACCCCCTGTATGCACACACACGCACGTCCCTTCAGGGAATCATCATACCATGCGTAACATTCACATAACAAGTTTCTGGTTTTAAATACCTTCTGTCAGAAGAAAACAGTAGATTAACTGTGGTGTAGAGTAATCGTAGAATGGTTTGGAATGTTTGTTTTCAAGCACTTATTCTTTGATTTCTCCTAGTACAAAATGTGTGTGGATTAGTAGCTCAATTACTGCTTAGCTTTAAGTGATCCTTGCAGGGATTATTCAAGCACGTATGAACTCTGAAGATGGGTAGCAACTGATGAACTGTGTGCTTGTGTAACGGTTGCTATTTAGCGCATGCTTTGCACCCTGACCTTTGAAGTAATTAAATGTTGAATCCTTGTAGCCTTCTGTCTTAATAGCGTGAGGTTAGTCTGCTACTCACTGGTCTTTTGTACTAGGTAGATGTAAATATATTACTGCTTACCTAGGCTGCCTTGTTAGCACATGGGTTGGCACGTGATTGTCAAAGCTGCTCTTTGAGATGTGTACAGGTTTTTGCAGTTCAAACTGTCAATTTAATGAGCCAATTGCAAATAAGATCTGGAATTCTGAAAGGAAGATGAGCAAGTACATCAAAATAGCATCAGAGAAGATTTAATGCAGTCTTCGCTCTCCCTTGTGGTCTCTAGCATCTAGTAGTAACCAGACAAAAGCTTTTGCAAAGATGGAGGCAAGCTGATTAATCCCAGAAATCACCTCACTGAATAGAATGAGCATGGCAATAGTCTACTTTAGAACTGTGACTTGAGCCCAAATGGTAACTACATGTTGTTGAATCCTTACTTAGTTTTTCCCTGTTTTAATCCTCAAATGAGTAACAGTGTGGAAATTCTCTGTGCTATACAGTACAGGTTTTTAAACTCCATGTGCTAATGTTGAAATACGGGTTCAAGTTCAAAAAAGATGGCTGCATTCGTTGAGGACCCAGAAACTTACCATGGAATAAATGCATCTATTTAGGCAGTGTCTGTAACAGGTCTTAAAACTTTCTGGGGATTCTAGTCTATAGTGTAGTGTAGCTTGTGCCTAAAAAGCAAATGGGGAAATAGTTTGAATGTTTAAGAGTAGTAGCATGTCTAGAGAGCTTTATTGCAGAAGGAAAGTGAAAGCTAATGATTGACTTGTGAGGAAGAATTTTGATAGGAAGTTCAGCCTTTCAGAAAACAAGTTCAGAAAGCAACTTGAGGAGCTACAGATGCAAAACACCACCCCAAAAAACCCAGCCTCTCCCTGTCCTGTTATTGGCATGAAAGTGCTGAGGCATAGCTGCTTTTTCTTTATGTTCAATTTTTTAAATTGTAGAATTGATGCTGTAAGTTGAGGTTGCATGTAGTTGAAACAGTGACATAAAAGATGCTGTCACGACAACTATGCTTATGTTTTTAGCAATTTCTGACATTCCTCTGAAGTTTGTTCTCTCATATGTTTACTGTTCAATTAGCCCAGCCACTATATTCATTAGATTTCACATTTGCCAAGTGAAGTATCAACAGATTCTGTAATACTGTTTTGAAGTTCATAAAAATCAAAGACCACCTTTATAAAGATTTAAGATTTCTAACCTTGCAGCTTAGTATGTTGGTCAGAAGGAAGGGCCTGTTTTAACTGTCAGCTCTAGCCCAAACCTGTCAAAAAGCTGCAAGCTATTAAATTGGTTTTTTTTTTTTTTTTTTTTTTTTTTTACTTTGGTTATTATTCTGATGTCCATGTTTCTGTGTCTGAAGTGTTGCAGAGAAGGCCACAAAGGCTAATCTCTGGTGTCTTCTGTTCTCTGCTGGCCAAATAAAGCTGCAGGTGGGTGGGAAAAATTTCTCATTTGAAAGAAGATGAAGCTCATTAGAAGCCCATGAAGATTACTTTTAACATGAACATAAGCATTTAAAACTTAATTTTATGTGGCTGTTTATTCATGGTTCTTAAAACCTTTCGCAAAGCTTCAAATGCCAAAGCTGTTGCCTCTCTAAGTTCCTGATACTGTTCCTTTTTTTGTCCCCACCAAAGTGCCTGTGTGATTACAAAAACACTAACACAATGTTAAACGGCTTCTCCACAGACCTGTGAAGAAAGTTCACAATGACATATATGGTCTGAACTGCATATATCTGTTGCAAAGGGCAATGGCGTCAAGTTGGTTCTTGCCTATGCATCTGGAAGTATTTTCTCCTAGGTTATCTTATCCTGTTGCTGTCTAGGATAAGCCTTTTGGAAGAACACTTAAAGTAATTTTCAGATAGTCCTCCCCTCAGCTGTGAAAGCTCACACACGATTACAAGTGTAGCCAGACCATTTGTCATCCTCTGAAACCACTTCTAGGACTTTGAAAAAATCTTCCATTCTTCCAAAACTACCTACCCCTTTGAGTCTTACAGCTTGTGTTACATGTTAGTACAGAGATGTTCCAGGAATTCATTTTTCAAACAAACCTGTGCCAGATCTAAGCTGGGGAGATAATTTTGCAATTTAAGTACTTTGACTAGGAGGCAAGAAAATTAATTTATTTTTTTGTTCTTGTGAAATTCAGTTTAATCTAAAAAATTAAAATTACTTTTTAAAAAGTGGATCATTAAGATTCAGCAACAGTAAAATAAATATTTCGTAGAATCCTAGAATAGTTTTCTGTTTTCTATTAATACTTCTGGTATTCTTTGCAGGACCATAATATTCAGGAGAAATGCAGTCTTTATGACTCCATAGATGTCCATAGGCTTTTGGGAAGCTATTCTATTCAGTTGCAGTTATGAAGAGAACTGGATACTACTTCTGGAGCTGTAAAATTGTGGCTTACTTGTCTTCATTTTTGCCTTTTGTCTGTGTGGGTTCTCCAGCCTATGGCATCAAAGGAAACATGATGCAAAGTATCTTTTAGTTACTGTGTGTCTTGTCCAGAATGTCCTTTGCTCTGTAATGTTGTCCTGTACTCTTGTGTATTTAACAAGATTTTTAACATTTTATTGCAAAGAAAAATCATATGTTGTGATCAGCTCAATGAAAAAGCTTGGGAAAGCTTTTTCCATCACTTGTCACTTGGGAGATTACTAGTTGTAGTACTATTAAGTTCTTTCGTATTCATACTCACTAGAAGTAACTCAGTAGCATATTGGATTATTCTATCTGTTTCATTTTGTCTTGAGGCAAAATGGACTCAAACAAAGTCAGTCCTAGTTTATAAGCAGCCTTCCCTGTTCCTATCACCTAATTAGTTTTTCCTGGGACTTCTGTATGTGCTGGAAACAGAATTTGTGACTCTTTGGGCTGACCTATCTGTTTGCTGGATCTCAAACAGCCAACCCCTACAGCTGATCACTGGATGACCTGCCATAGTGTGTAAGCTCTTAGTAGGTATCTCGGTCTTAGAATAAGTCCTTAATGTTTTGTGTAAACACAGTAAAGTTGTGATCACATAACTTACCACTGGGTTGTAAATTTATTGAATGACAGATTCCCACATTTGTGCTTTTGTATCATAAGAGGTGGCTTGAGGTGGATACTCTTTATTTACTGAAGGTCAAGATTTGTGTAGTGTTTCTTAAATTCAATGCCAAAGCTGCCCTGCAGTGTTTGGGCATGATTATTTCCCTAACTGGAGTAACTCTACTTGATTTCACACATCTGAGCCCTTCATGGTAGCAGGAAGGAAACAACCCACCTTTGCATTTCAAAGCCCTTCAAAAATCATTTGTAATTAAATGTACTTCTTTTTATTCTTTCCAGTTCTTACCAAAACAAGAAATTTCTTAACTCTTTAGATCTTTGAGAGGAGAAAAAGGAGAAAAATTGGTATAAAACTTGTGAAAGTATGTGAGATCTCATTTCCCTCATCCCTCTTGATTCCTTTAGGCATTCTGATAACAACCATTGCTTCAAAAGGGGAATTACAGAATTGGCCTGAACTCTTACCAAAGCTTTGTGGTCTATTGGATTCTGAAGATTACAATACCTGTGAGGTAAGGGGTCTTACAAAAAACAGATTATAATCTGAATTTGTTAATTTTTCTATCTTTTTGTAGACACTGTATATATGTATAGTATTGTTTGTGTATGCATCCACATATGTTCTCCTCAGAGAACAGTGGCTCAAATTTGATACGTCTGCCTGCTTTCCATGTTCTTACTGTTCATTCAAACAAATTAGTTTACTTTGCATAAAGGAGAATAAGACTGCAGATGGGTAGTCATGGCATGTCAGCTGAGAAGTGTCCTGAAGTTACCACTTTGTGATGCCTAATCTCTTAGGCATCAACAGTATCAAGTTGGCTCTGAATTTTCTCTTACATAAAAGTAGTGTTCATTCTTGTAACTTAATCTGGAAAAGCTGTGTTGGGGTGAAATAAACTATTGTTCAGCATGTATGAAGGCCAATTTAACTGTTTTAAACTATGATGAGAAAAAAGGCCTTGTCTGGCTTGTAAATATCTGTAATAACATGACTTTAATTGCTTGATACTGTTTCTATGAGAGTGTGTGAAGCATTTTGTATAAAATAATGCTCAGAGTTAGAATAATGGTCCAAGATGCAATGCTGTTACGTGGTGGTTTAGTGCTGTTTTCTCAAGAAAAAGGAAAAAAAAAATAACCACTTGAAAGTGGAACTTAAATTGACCATCATATCCAAAGCTCTGCCCCATAACGAACCATAAATGGAATACAATTATTTAGATATTAAATGGGATGCTTTGGCATCCTAACACTTATTTCTTAAATAAGAACCAGCTTTTAAGCATTTTTAAAAATACGATTGAATAGATGATCACTGAATGCTAAAATTAAAATTACCACTTATCCATTAGTGACTCACTCAGCTTGAGAGTTTACAGATGCCAGTATAAAGTGTTTAAATAAAAAGTCTTTAAGGATATCAAAGGACAGGCTGAGAAAGTGGGGGCTGTTCAGCCTGGAGAAGAGAAGCTGCGTGGAGACCTCATAGCAGCCTTTCAATATCTGAAGGGGGCCTATAAGAATGCTGGGGAGGGACTCTTCATTAGGGACTGTAGTGACAGGACAAAGGGTAATGGGTTCAGACTTAAACAGGGGAAGTTCAGGTTAGATATAAGGAAGAAATTCTTTACTGTGAGGGTGGTGAGGCACTGGAATAGGTTGCACAAAGAAGTGGTAAATGCGCCATCCCTGGTGGTGTTCAAGGTCAGGTTGGACAGAGCCTTGGACTAGTGTGTGGTGTCCCTGCCCATGGCATGGGGGTTGGAACTACATGATCTTAAGCTCCTTTCTAACCCAAACCATTCTGTGATTCTATGATGTTTCAGTTCCATATTTAGTTAGGTGTACTTACTGTGTTAAATAGCTATATTTATTGTGTTACGCTGAAATTACCTGTTGTGTACAAAACCTGAAACCTTGCGTTGATCAGATGTGAAAAAGTTTTTGGTTTGTTTTGTTTGCGTTTTGGGTTTATTGTTTGTTTGTTTGTTTTATTTTATTTTTTTTTTTTAATAGGGTGCTTTTGGCGCTCTTCAGAAGATATGTGAAGATTCTGCCGAAATTTTAGATAGTGATGTATTGGACCGACCACTCAATATCATGATACCTAAGTTCTTGCAGTTCTTCAAGCACAGCAGTCCAAAAATAAGGTAGGGTTAGATGCTGTACCTTTTTATTTATGTAAATTTTATTTACATGAGCAGCAAGGTTGCTATTTATAGATGTGTTTAAAACATGCATAGTTTTTTTTAAATGATGCTGCAGAGATCCAGAGATTCCATGCATCAGTAATTTCAATGTTTATCTGCTTAGTTAATAAACAATCTCACCTTTTTATACTTTTTCCAAGGGTACAATTAGCCTATGACTGAAAATCAAACTGTTTCTTTTAAGTTTTTGCATAAGTCCTGGTTTTGGCTAGGGTAGAGTTAATTTTCTTCTGAGCAGATGGTGAAGTGCTGTGTTTTGGCTTTAGTCTGAAAACAGTGCTAATAACACACTGATCTTTTAGTTGTTGCTAAGTAATGCTCTAGCTCAAGGACTTTTCAGTTCTGCCAGTGAGGAGGTGCACAAGAAGCCAGGAGGGGGAGCAGAGACAGGACACCTGACCTGAACTAGCCAAAAGGTTATTCTGTACCATAGAATATTATGCTCAGTGTATAAACAGGGGGAGTTAGCTGGAAGGAGCTGATCACTGCTCTAGGGTGGGCTGGGCATTGGTCAGTGGATGGTGAGCAGTTGTACTGTGCATCACTAGTGGTTTTTTGAGGATGTTTATTCTGTTCTCTCTCTTTATTGCCTATTATTCATATTTACATTTTACTTTATTTCAGTTATTAAACTCTTCTAATCTCAGCCCATGGATTTTTTACCTTTTTTCGATTCTCCTCCCCATCCCGCTGCCAGGGATAGTGAGCAAGCACCTGCATGGTTCTCAGCTGCTGGCTGGGCTTAAGCCACAATAGCGTATTATTATGAAAAATTTAGTTCTATGGTTAGAACTTAGCATTCTGTTTAGAAAGAACAATTTTGCATTCATTTGGTAATGACTTCAGCAATAGGAGAATCAAAATTCTTTTGTTGACAATAGTTTCTGAGGTTTTGCAGGAAAAAATTCTGCTTTGACTGCACCAAAGCTTAGAAAGCTCTTTATCTTTCAGCTGAATCAAATTGAATGGGTTCATCATCTTTTCACTGTAAACCTGTGTTAATCTTTCCAAAGTAAAAGAAGTATAGAATATAACTAAAATTCCAGGGTTAAAGTGGTTATTGCTAATATTCATTGCAAAGAACAATAGCTCTTACCCTGAAATGAGGCAACAGTGTGCCACTGCCACAAAGAATGCCAATGGTTTCCTGGGCTGGAGTGTTGCCAGCTAGTTAAAGGAGGTGATCCCCTCACCTTCCAGGTGAGGCCACACCTGGAGTATTGTTTCCAGTTCTGTGCTGTCCAGTGCAAAAGAGACATGGACATACTGGACAGAGTACAGGAAGGGACCATGGAGATGATGAGGGGACTGGAATATCTATCCTGTGAGGACAGACTGAGAGACCTGGGTCTGGGGGAGCTCATCAATGTATGTAAAAATCTGAAGAGAGAGTGCCAAAAAAAAAGGCATGGCCATGCTCTTTCAGTGGTGCCCAGTGACAGGACCAGAGGGAATGGGCACAAACAGAAACACAGGAGGCTCCCTTTGAACATCAGGAAACATTTTTTCCTGTGAGGGTGACTGAGCAATGGTTGCCCAGAGGGGTGGTGGAGTCTCCATCCTTCAAGATACTCAAAAGCCATCTGGATGTGGGCAGCTGGCTGTAATTGGTCTTGCTTTAGCAGAGGGGTTGGACCAGATAACCTCCAGAGGTGCCTTCCAACCTCAGCTGTTCTGTGATTCTCTGTGATTCTGTGAAATGTGGTTTTTTAACCCTTGTTTGGAAATTGTATTTAAAGATTCTGCAACTTGAAGGTGGCAGTTCTTTATCACCAACAGAAGTAGATGGTAAAGACAAAGAGGAAGGAGTAGAATTTGCAATATATCATTATAAGATTCAAGTAAGATTTAGAAACTCACCGAAAATAGATGCACACTAAGAACAATACGTAACAAAGCAATATCTTGCTCTTGTGGAAATACTGATTTAGTACTTCTCTGGAGCTGGGAGAGATAGATTAAAACATACTTTTTTCCTTACCACATTACACAGTCTTTCACTTTTTTCTGTCCTGTGATGTTTGTATCTTTGAAACTATTAAGCCAGCTTCAGGTTTAAAGCAGGCCACCTGCTGACCTGCAGCCTGGTTTCAATATAGTGCTAAAGTATGAAAACTGTTACTAGTGTCAGTAAAATACTTTATATTTAGATCTGTCAAAAGACAACTTCTGAACAATGTTTTATGAGAATTGTCTGAACAGATTAGAAGTTTGAAGTTACATTAGTAAAAATACTGTAAGGGAACTTCAAAGGCTTTTACAGCTAAAGCCTTGTGCCTTTACTTGCAGAATTTGACTTCTGTGTCTCTGCGAATGAGAAAGACCTAGAAGTAGTGGCTTTGCATGAAATGGAATAGAACCAATGTTTAATTTTTTAGTATGCTTCTATCACAGGTATTTTATTAGGTATCCTACTACAAGTATGCGTGTGTTCTAAGCTACAGATACAGTGTTGACACTCGTCTAAAAATATTGCAAAGGCAATTGGATACTTAACAACAAAGAAGGGCTTTCAAAAATTCACCAGGTTGGCTTGTATGAAATTGTTAGTATCTGAGAAGATCAATAATTATAAAATATTCAAAAAGAACATCCTTGCATACTGTTTGGAACAAGTATGCCAAACACCCTGCTCTAGTTTTTATTAACTGAAGACTTTATTTTAAAATATTCATTAGATATGTCAGAGTGTAAGGTGGTTATTAACTAAACTAGAGTTGGTTTAATTAGACTACTGAACTTAAAACTGGCTTAGTAATTTTGCTTGGTAATACTATGGATGTGCAGATTTGTTACCTCTTGATGATGATTGGACAATGTAATTTGCTTCCTAATGTTTTTGGTATCTACGTACAGTTTAGAAAATGTTTGTAACTCGTTTAAAATGTGTATTTTAACCATTCCATTTGTAGGTCTCATGCTGTTGCATGTGTCAATCAATTTATCATCAGCAGAACTCAAGCTCTTATGTTGCACATAGATTCTTTTATTGAGGTGAGTGTGCATTCTTGGTTTGGGGTTTAAGTGTTTTGAACTATGTTTTACAATCACCTCTATCCCCAGACTCCCCGTTTATCGTCGCCTGTTCTTAGTTTCAGTCCCCATGGGTTGAAGTTCATTCTGTATGGTTGTGCTCAAATTGATTAGTCTAAGCATGCTCCAAGCCCAAAAAATAGTATTTTGAAAGATGCTTCCTCTCCCTAAGTAACTTTTGCCGCAGAAAGGTGTAAAAGTAATAGCACTTAGCTGTGGTGGAAAGTGCGGTCAGTACAAGGATTATTATGTCACCGAGTCCTGTGTTCCTATGAATACTGCTAATGAACATGGATTAGAAGGCTGGTACGTTGGGTTACCTGGAGTATTTGATTTCTCATGTTATGTACTGATGGAGCTTTCTAGCCTCAGCACTTCATTTATGCTTAGGAGAAAAAAAAACCCAAACCACTGTTCTTATGCCAGTGTTAATATTATGCAGTGTTTTGGTTATGTGTACAATACACACTGAGAGCCTGAAGAGTTCATTTGCTAAGCCATATGTCTTTAAGAAGTAAAATGATATTCTGAGATGTGGGGTCGGAGAGCACAGAAGTACATTTTCATACACTTTAGTTTGCCAGTAATGGCAATTTAAATACAAGTTAACTAGATGAACTGGCCTTTTCAACTGGTGCTACTTTTCAACAGAATCTTTTTGCACTGGCTGGTGATGAGGAGCCTGAAGTACGCAAAAATGTTTGCCGTGCTCTCGTAATGTTGCTGGAAGTTCGAATGGATCGCCTGCTCCCTCACATGATTAGTATAGTTGAGGTGAGTCCCATTTCCCAGATTGCATGCTGAAAAAAAAACGTTTGGGGCTGCATGAATCATAACAAATAAAAAGCATTTTTCAGAACAATTATGTTACTGTTGCACTTGCCTACTCTTCAATTTTCCTTCAAGACTGAGATTGCAAAACTTTCTTCTTAGCTAATTGCCAAGTCACCATAGTATTTGACAGGCAATGCATACAATAGTAGTATATTCTTCCTTTATTGATCCTGAAATGGTCAGGATCAGTTATACTATGGAGCAGCCAGACACTGCTGCACCCTAATTTACAAGGTCATGTTAAAAGTCCAGTACTCATGCTGATACTGCTGTAGTTTACACATTGAAGCTGTTACTTTTTGCAGATGTGTTGATCGTAACAGGGATAAGGCTTGTTATTTTATATAGCTGAGATAGTCTTAGAGCATTCAGTTGTAGAGGTTATTGTAATTTGGTAGATCCTTTACCATTCTAGATTAGTCCAGACTTGTCTACCAGAGGACCAATCAGCTCTGGTTTTTGTCTGCTCAGCTGTTTAAGATGTGAGTAATTTCCAGATTTCTGGGAAGTACTGCCAGTTTCTAGGTAGTGTTTACATATGCTACTTGCCAGGCTGGAAGTACAGTTAAGATAATAATGTTTCTCATGTAGATTTCATGTGGACAAGTGGGTCATAACCCAGTGTCAAATTTCATAAAGACTATGTCCAGACAATACAAAGAGGGTGTAAAGGTTTTTATGCTCCTATACACAGGCATTAGAGATGCATAGAACTGAGGTGATCCTTGACAGCCTTGGCCTGCTGTCTAGTCTTCCTATATGGTATTTCGTAATTTATTGTGCTAAAGCAACTATTTGCATTGCTTAAAGTAGGCAAACTTTATCATTAAAAGTAGTTATAAAAATTTGGCATTATAATTAAAAAAAATAAAAATATCCTTCCTATAGTTTGCTTTGTTACTTTCTTTATTCTTGGTTTTCAGGCCGTGTATACAGCTATCTTACACCACTGATTGTAAGCAGCCTTTTCAGTCTATCGCTGTCTTAACTTCATGGAGCATATAGTATGATACTTGGAATAGATACTTAAAGAGGAAATGACAGTGTGAGGGGCATCTTCAAACAGTCTACTTTTTGTCATTCTGCTTCTGTCTTCTTGACAAATAAAAATTACAACAAAATAGTAGATTTTCAAGCCTTCTGGGGAAAAATGCCAATGTGCATTAAAGAAGCCTTGCTTGCAATGAGTAGGACATTCTTCAGCTTTACTGAGATACAGTCTATTGACAACTCAGAACAGAGCAGTATTTCTGTTTTTATGAGTTCTTAATCACAATAGTGAATCTTGAGGAAAAGCTCAGGATATGGTGCAATTCTGTAGGATGGGGTGCTGTGCTTGGCAAGTTTTGCATCCTTGAAATAAATAGGATATTAAAGGTGTCCCCCTGCCCCCTTTTTTTTTTTTTTTTTTTTTTAATAATTTTGAGGATAAAATAGTATTTTGGATCAACTGAAGAGGAATTTCTTTTGCTCTGGATCCATGTGCAAGGAAAGTTAGCTGCATGAACTTCCATGAGGTTTTCTAAAATGAACAGGAGAATCAATTGTATCAGAAATAAGGGGAAATAAGGGCTGGCATGAAATGTTTTGGTAGTTGTGTATAAGAAACTACTGTAGCAGTAGTCTGCTTAGGCTTTTTCTTTATGCATGTATTTGATTATTTTTGGTTGAAGGAGGACTAAATTTTAATAGCAGGCTTAAAGATTTGATACTGAATCTGTGAATTACAATCATGCTCGAAAATGTGAGACTTCCACCTCCTCATCCCATTGTCATCTTGTCAGATAATCAAGATTTGGAAGGGAAGCTTCTTTATGGTACTGTGAATAAAAAGTATTTCCATCTTATTAAGGGTATATTTGTACATTTTGATTCAAAAGTGCAAAGGAGCAGTAAAAAAAATTTTAAAAGTCTGTTCGCAGGAAACTGCTGTTTATTATCTTAGGTCTCTTCAATTTCTTGGTAATAATGTTCTCACTTAAGCAGTGAAGAAATATAGAATCTGAATCATCTGATGAATCATCATCAGTGTTAGTAAAGAAGTCTCTTAGCTTATTCTCACAATAGTCATAAGTACTCTTTCATGCTGTTTCTTCCCCTTGCCCCAGAGAAACTATGGTAGCATAGTCTGGTTTTGTGAACACAATTTGCAATGTTGGTAACTTCTGGACACTTGAAACTTCTGTCTTATGCAAGTAATACATTTTTATGTTGTGTAGTACATGCTTCAAAGGACCCAGGACCAAGATGAAAATGTGGCTTTGGAGGCTTGTGAGTTTTGGCTGACTTTGGCTGAACAGCCTATTTGTAAAGATGTATTATGTCGGCATCTTACTAAGTAAGTATTAAGAATTATAACTCCTTTTTATTTTGAAATAGTAATCTTGAAACTTCATTTGACTTGTTCCTGGTTGCTCTTACAGAGACATAATCCAACTTGCGATATGCTTAGAACAATTTTCCTGTAGCTATTTCTTGTGTGTAGTAAAAATGACAGTAGCACAGAGTTCACTGAAAAGACTGCTGAGCATTTCAGACCCTGTGACTTCCAGAAACAATTCAAATTGTATCACTGTGGTGCTTTACCTGAAGCCTAATAGGCTTCACATGGATGCAGAAATATGCTAATGTGCACTTAAGCTCAAACAAACATCTTTATGTGCCATTACCTATTGTATCTGGTATGCCATGAACGCATTGTCTTGACTATCACTGAGGCAGCCATCTCTGTGCAATGCTACTATGTCCAGAGCCGTGTAAAGAGTGTTCCTTGTTTTATAAAGAACATAAAACATCATGGCATCATTGGATTTAGGAATCAATTTTATATCAATTGCTGTTGCAGTTTAAACTTGAAGAAAGCATGTACAATATGTTCCTTCTTACTTCTGCAGCCTGATAGTAGATTAAGTTTCAGAAACTGTTTTTTGTAAGTTTCAAAAAGTTATCCTATGCCTCAAATTGTAGATCTTTGGATGGAATGAATATCCATATTTGAGATGTAAACAATCAGCAAAATTTTGGTTTTCATAAGCAATTAGAAAGTAGATAATTGAGATTAAAACACCTGCTGTAGCAGTGGAGGAATAGGAGTTGAAAACAGGAGAACCAGTGTTATGAGAAATAATTTTAAATTATAGAATGGTTTTACTTGATTCCTACTCTTGTAGCTCAAAAGACAAAAGAATGGTAGCACAGTTGAGTCTACCCACACACATCTCAACACGCATCATGTTTATACTGAGAATAACAGTAGTTGTTAACTACTAGTATTAAAGCTATCTTGGCCTACATGAATATTGATACTGTGAAGAGTCATACTAATTTTTTTATGCTTTTAAATTTCTAGAAGAACAAATACTTAAGAGTAACATTGCACTTCTCTCATAATCTTTCAATGTCATGTTTGTTGGAAGCAACTTACTTGTTGGTGAGTCCTCTTTGACTCGGGAGCTATATGAGCTTATCGATACTTGATGATAATCTTAATTTTTTTTATATTCAATTAAAGGATCTTCTAAAAACCTTTTCATGTAGTATCTATCATCTCGTTCCATTTTGCTCCTATAGGCTTTTTTATAATACATAGCTCCTGCATACTTCATGAAGTATGCTGCAGAAATGACAATGAGTTGCTGATACATATACTTACTATTCCTTCATTCAAAATTTAGAAGGTAACTTGCCATTGCAATGCATGAATATTACTGCTGGCCTGGTACCTTCAAAAACAATACTTCTCAGCTGCAGAATAATGAGAATTTGAGTTTGTCAGTGAGGCTGGGTCAGTCCATGGTCATTATTAGCTTGATTTGGCTTCTAAGACACATTTTTAGTGGAGAATGTGGTTTTATGTGAAGTATGTACTCGCTATACCCCTGTACAGCCGTACATAGCCATAACCAATTTAATAATGAAGTAAATTCTAATTTAGAGCAGTCAAGATCTCTGCAATGTTGGGGACTTGTCTTAGAGAAGTAATGACAAAAAGATATGAGGGCTTAATGTAGTTCGGCTTCCATTTTAAGACGGAAGTAAGGTAGAGTCTTCAACCACAAGTAAATAAAGTGACAAGTATTATTGGAGAGAGCCAACTTGTTTGTCATGCATATTATGGGAGTTTGAATTCTTACTGGAAACTTGTAGACTTCATTTTTGAAAGGTGCTTCAGAATAAATTCATCATATGGAAGAATATCTGTTCTTTAAAATTTAAAACTCAGTTGTGCCATCTGGCTCCCTCTACTTAAAAGTTTGTAATTTGCAGTTAACACTTTTTCAGATTACGGAGTATCAATGAACCTTATGGAGCTTGGTTTAGGTAGTAGCTTTGTTATGAGGTTAAGTTATTGGGGGTTTTATTATTTTGGGGATGAAGGTTACAACCAAGATTATAGTCCAGGTAACTGAAAACCGGCTTGCTTTTTTTAATGTATTATTTTGACATACATCAATATTTCTTTGTAGGCTGATACCTGTGCTGGTAAATGGTATGAAATATTCAGAGATTGATATTATTTTGTTGAAGGTGAGCATCAACTTCTTTGACTCTGTAAGAATATCTGGTTAGTTTCTGACCTATAAATCGGAGTGATTCAGATCAGAATGGGCAGATCTGGCCTACCATCTGTTCAATGGAGAATTAGGCTTCAGGGGAAGGTGTGCTGTTCCAACACTAAACACAACTGCTGTCATATTTGTTGCAAAATAATCTGCAGGCTTTCCTGCTTTGCCTTATTCCCTCCCATCCAATTTAGGCATAATTGGGATACTATTACCCATGAACTACTGCAACAGTAGAGCCTAAAAACAGTTCGTAATTAGTTCTGATGCCTTTTAGATTGAATACACAGCTTTTTCCACTGTTAACATTTTAGAATGTGTCTGTGTACCAGAATTTCCCTATTACTACTTTTTTCGAGTTTATTCCATCAAGAGTAATTTCTTAAAAAGATGAATACTTTGTGTGTGAGTTTACCTCTCTTGCTTCTATCTTCCTGTCATTTCTGGTAAATGTGGCAGGAGAATGGAGGAACAGTGGCATTTTAGTTAGCTGGGCAGCACAAGTGGGATGTGAATCTTTTATATGCTTATAAAATCTTGAACTAAAACCACATTCTTAACTTCCTTGGCCAATATAGTTGGACTAGTTTATCTGATAAAACATTTTGGTGACAGGGGGATGTTGAAGAAGACGAAGCTATTCCAGATAGTGAACAGGACATAAGACCTCGTTTCCATCGTTCACGAACTGTGGCTCAGCAACATGAAGAAGATGGTATTGAAGATGATGACGATGATGATGATGAACTTGATGATGATGATACTATTTCTGACTGGAATTTAAGTATGTTAAAGTAATGTGTAAAATGTTTTAAAGTAGAACTATTTATTTAATAAAAGAACCACAGTAGAAAGAGGACTTTGTAGGAATATTGAGGGTTTGCTTTTGAATACAAAAAGAACTATGTGCTGACATAGTTGGTCATGGATGGCATGGAGGGGGGAGTCTTTTGACTAACTGGTGAAAGTTAGCCATCTGTAAGCTTATTCCTTATTTCGAATATGGCAGATCGAGCAACAAACATTTATGGGATGCAGCTCAACAGAACTTTTGGACTTAAAATTTTATTTCTACAAGATAAGAAAAACCATATATCACCTATTTAACTTGAGTTAAAAAAAAAAAAACCAACCCTTTACACACTGGTAACTGGAGGAAACTTAATAATGCTTTGATTTACTTCAGTCTTCCCTCTAAAATTGGTTTGTGTGTTTTGTTTTGTGGTTTTTGTGGGCTGTTTTGTTTGTGCCTTTATTGGTTTTTTCTTTTATTTCCATGTGAGCATGCTACTACTGACAGCCATTACTAGTAGTTCTGTTCTGCGTGAGGAATTTGCTTCTGACCAGAATACAATACCTTAGTTACAAAGAGAGATACAGTTATCTTAGTTACGACAGGAGGTAGCTGTGAGGAAACCATAGTTGATGGCCTATGTGCAGGTTGTAGGACCTTCAGGCCAATAGGCCATATGATAAGAAAAGAAACCACCACAAACTGATTTTTAAGCTCAGTGATAGAAAATAGGTAGTAGAATTCTGACAAATCTGACAAATTCACTTTGCAGGCAGCCTTATTGTGGAATAATGTTTTGAGATTCAGATACATCCACATAATGTTTTTTTCTTCAAAGGCCCTCAGTATTCACAAAAGGTGAATGTACCTTAAAGCTTATGATTAAATTATTTTGAGACATATGCTGTTATTATTATTAAAACTAATATAGGTATGCTTGTTTCTGTAAAGCTTCTTTTTAAAAATAGTGTTGTTTTAGATTTGTAATGCTGTTCTGGTCACTGCTGTATGTAGAGATTGCAGAATTAAAGACATGTTTTCTGAAAAAGATAGCTGAAATGACAGAGGGTGCCCTGTGGTCCACAGTTTTGATTAAGGTGGTAAGGAAGCTAAAGTTTATCAGGAATGGTGACCTGAAAAAGAAAGAGCAGCACAGTTAAGAATCTGTATTAACATACGTTATCTGGACTTGAGAGAATTTGGATTATCTGAAAATCAGAATTGTGTGCCCTACTTCTTATCCGGTGTTCTATATTTGACTTTCAATGTGAACAGAGAGGAAGCATCAGTGCAGCCTGACAGTTAGTATCATTGCTTACTAATGAGACTGGTTGGATCCAGAGGAACTGAGGTTATAATGAGCAAAAAGTGCATTATAAATTGTTATAAGAGCATCCTTTGTAAAACTACCTTCACGTTGTTTTTACTAGACATGACAACATGCAGCAGAAAAAAAATGAGTAAGGATTTCTGATTCATGTTCAAAGTTGTTTCTGATTTTTATGAGTTTAGTTTGCTAAAAACTTGAGATTGAAACTTGCAAACAGGTTTTGAGGTGTTCCTCTTCATATTGGTGTATCACAGGAGAGGAGTAAGGTATAAAAGCTAAGAGCAGAGGATAGCAAATTCCTTTCAGTCTCTAGAGTTCAATCATTTTGCCTTTTTTTACTTTGAGACATGGTTTTGAGCACTTTATTTTTAATCAAATGCTAGTACTTGTAGGCCATTTCTCATTAGTTTCTCCAGTATGCTACATTCATCTCACCAGCCTTCCCTCTTCCTTAGTATTATGCCATCCCGAAATCAAGTAGTGTATATAATGTTGCAATATAATGGTGTGATTCCTGTCAGTGAGGATTTTAATATCCCCACTGTGTAAGTCCTTTTAATGGCTATTTAGGTGCTGCAAAACTGGCTTTCTAAGAGCGATGGTTTTGCACCACAGCATAGTGGATCACTGTGTATTGTAATGAAATGGAAGTATCTTTTAATGCCCTGAGACTCCGCTGGCAGCTTGAAGTTAAGACAAGGATTATATTTCTTACCTACAACTACTCGTGTAATAAGCAGAGATTAACACTGTTAATTCCCCTCAGGGAAATGTTCTGCCGCTGCTCTAGATGTCCTGGCCAATGTATTTCGTGATGAACTTCTGCCACACATCTTGCCCCTTTTGAAGGAATTGCTCTTCCATCCTGAATGGGTAGTTAAAGAATCTGGTATCCTTGTTCTTGGAGCAATTGCTGAAGGTAAGGCAACAGTGCATATCAGGTTGCTGAATTTTTGATCAGTTCCTTCCAGGTAAATTTACATATGCAAACATGTGTATGTCCTTAACTGGTTGGGTTTCATTGATTAATCTTTACATCTAATAATTGGTGACTGGAGTTATTTAACTTTTATTTTCAAATCTATGCATGTTTGGGAGGCAAAATAGCTTAAATAATTTGTTTTGTTTCTCGCTTTCTTAACTCTGCAGCATATATTTATTGGTCAGTCATGAAATACTACCTTGATCTCCTAGAAGAGGAATATTTACTAAATTTGAGCCTTATATTTCATTTAAGTGTTTTCAGAAATGGAGAAGATGCTTCTGTGATGTCAGTGTCCTGAGCTCCTTTTTGTGGATGGTTCTCCAATTTAAATATGTTAACTTCTGTTCCGTTTTATTTACTTAGTCTTGCTTGGCTTTTTGCTTGTATTTCCAGCATCTCTGTCCTTTTTGCAAGCTGAAGGAATACATTTGAGTCAATGCCTGGATTATCATTCTTTTCCCACAGTGTCTCGTGAACTTTTTTTTTTTTTTAAATAGAAAACTTTTTGTTGGTCTTGATTTTAAGTTGCGCAGGGTAGAAGTTTGCTGACTTGAAATGTGTAGCTTTTCTTGCTGGTCAGTATTTTTATATTGGGATAAAACAAGAAGAAATTTAAATTTCTAAAGGAATCCTTTTTAATGAGGTGATGATTTGTTGTCAAGACCAAGTCTTTCTGTACTTGCTGTCTTGGTTACTTTTGAGTAGACTGACAAAGGACCTCCAAGCTTTATAAACTAATTTTATTCGGGTGTACTTGCCATACTCTATTTAATAAAGTAGAATTTCTGGAGATTGGGGAGGGAGGCATGGAAGTAGAAATGTGGCTGAAGTGAATGTAAGTTTCATTGGAGATTTTAATTTTTTTTTTTTATGTACAGTTTCCTTTTAGCACTTAATATAAATTAGGTAGGGTTTGTATATTGTAAAAATGTACTCCTACGTGATAGATAATGAAAATACGTCCCTTCTGAGAAAGAATAGAACTTCTTGTTAATTCTGGTACTGCAATAGCTGTATTTTTCCTTCTAGGCTGCATGCAGGGTATGATTCCGTATCTTCCAGAGCTGATCCCTCACCTTATTCAGTGCCTCTCCGACAAAAAGGCTCTTGTGCGCTCCATTACATGCTGGACTCTTAGTCGCTATGCACACTGGGTAGTTAGTCAACCCCCGGACACATACTTGAAGCCATTAATGACTGAGTTGCTAAAGCGTATCCTGGATAGCAACAAGAGAGTACAAGAAGCTGCCTGCAGGTAAGCCAAGCTTACGCAAAAAGCACTATCCATGACACTGTTTTTTCACTGGAAACTATATTAATGCCTTTATCAATCAATACACAACTCCATTTCTTTTTTTGAAATTGAAGTAGATTCATAATTTTCTGGAGTAGTCACAAGTTGTAGTAATTTTCTGGAGTAGTCACATTGTAATAACATGAAAAAAGTTATTTTGTATTTCTCTTGTCCAGTTTTTGTTGTCAGAGTATATGACTCAACAAACTAAATAAGTTATTGTAATAAAAGAAATTACCTGTTTGTGACATTTGTTTATTTTCAATATATGATGTTTCATTGCCCAGAAATCTGAGTGTTTTTTAATATGCCTATGAAAACGGTCAATACACAATGGTATACTGTCCTTTCGTTGGATAACTGATGTTGTTTATATTTACCTTAGGATTACCAAAACATTTGATTTATGATTATTCCCAGGGGTAGTCTCCTTCTCTTGAAGGGAGATCCTGGAAGATAAGATTCCCTTATCTCTCTTGAAGATAAGATTCCCTTATATCCCTTGTCTGCTGACATACTTTGTAAGATTTGCGTATTAAACACTGTTTCCTTTTTTCCTCTAAACCTTTTCAAGCATTGGGCTAGCAAATACCTTAGGCTTCAACATTCTGTCTTATCATAGTGGTGACAGAATTCTGTCTTATCATAGTGATGATTATCTGTTTCAGCCGGAAAATGGTGATATAAGACTAATAGATTCAAACCCCTTCACCCACGGAATCTGTTAATACTTCTCTTGCCCAGAACTTGGTTGAAATGTGCATGTAGTTGAACACAGCTGTGTTGCAATTGCTAAATAATCTCATGGAAATACTAAAAATAACAATACACCTGGGTTTTGTTTTTATTTAAAGTTCACGATCAGATTTATAGCATGCTTTGAAAAGCTTTCTTTAGAGCAAAGATTCATTAAAACTACTGTTGCAGGTGAAAAAATCAGCTGTCTGGGAAACTCCACTTCAGGAAAATGTAGAGCTGTTACAAGTCAAAACATTTACTAGCTTTCTGAATTTCAAGAAAATACAATGTTCTTTCTTGGAGAGGAGCAGAAAGCTGCTTCCCTACAGTGAATAGCTGCATAGATTATTAATGTCTATCAGATTAAAAATTGGTCATAGAATGCTCTGTTTTCCACTGCTAACCTCTCTATCGTAACAAATGTCTAACGTTCATTTTGTACTATTGAGAAACCGCTCCCTGCGCCTTCAGTTGGTGACACCCAAAAAGATATTTTACTGAAACATGTTTTCCTGCTCATGTTGTATGTCTTTCTGAAAAAAATACTTCATAATAACAGAATAATAGATAAATAAGAATGGTAGCTACTTAGTGTTCACCATTGCATTGTGTTAAGAAAAAAGCATTTCTGTATTTGGTAGCATGCTAGTAGGGGATTGTTCGCCTCATGCGGCAATGCATGCATTTTTAGTGCAGGGACAGGCTAATAATAGTCTTGTTGACACAAGCTAGGCCAGTAAATCTTCAATAGCTTATAATTTTTTCCTTTCCTTACTGTTTCTCTAAAGCAGCATGTCTGGTGCGGGGGCTTTTTTTCTTTGTTTTGGGTGGGTTTTCTTAATGGTGTTGTTCAAACACTTGACAGAACTCAAAAATTTTTTCCATGATGCCATGGTGTGTGCTTTGACCAAGGCTGGCTAAAAGTGTTCATCCCCCGTCTTTGCTTTTAGTTTTCCATGTCTTTCTGTATCTGTTTTTCCTGACTTTTTTTTTTTTTTTTTTTATCCCCCACCATGACATTTTATCTGTGTGAGCTGCTGAAAGTACAGGCTGATGTTGGCATTCTACTGACACAACAGCACTAGGGCTTCTATATGCAGTTACAGCATAGATTAAAGAGAATGGGCCATTTTTAACTTAAGTAAACAGGTTTTATAATGGTTCCTACTATTTCAGTTAGTATAGTGTAATTTATGTACAGTAATGGTTTTTTGGTGAAGGCTTCTTGCATATGTATACCAGGTTTTACAGTAATATTTTTTAATTTTGCTCATCACAGTGTAAGAGCTGGATCTTACATGTTCAGTCAAAATAGATCAAGGTTATCTCAGTAATATCAATTTGAAAACATATTTTGGATTAATATGAGGACTAAATATAGTGTTATGTTTAAACAGAAGTGGGTAGTGTGGGGCATTTTGGGGTCATCTTAGTTTGGTTTTTCCAAAATTCTGACTGACCTGTGGGTTTTTTTTTGTTTTTTTTTTTTTTTTTTTTTTTGTTCCTCAGTGCCTTTGCTACTCTAGAAGAGGAGGCTTGTACAGAGCTTGTTCCTTATCTTGCATATATACTTGACACTTTGGTCTTCGCATTTAGTAAATACCAGCATAAAAACCTGCTCATTCTTTATGATGCTATAGGAACTCTAGCAGATTCTGTAGGACATCATCTAAATAAACCAGTGAGTATACCTTACATCCTGTAGAAGCACTCCTTATAATTGAAAAACTGGTTCAGTGTTTTTTGTAGCATGATTTACACGCTATAAAACAGAAATGCTGTTATTTCTGTGTAGGTTTCAATAATACTAAATAGGTACAGGTAAATTAGGCAGACTGCATGTACTTTTCCCACTACACAAGCATGCACTGTTTTGAATACATGATTCTGTGTGGTGGCTTGTGAAATGTGTTTCTTACTGTGATTTTTTTCTCATGCTCAGAGTTTTTCGTCTCAGAATAGGTATGTATCTCAATATAGATATGAAATGGGACTTCAGAGAAATTGGCAGAATGTGTGTATTAATTTCTAATGACAACACTGTTTTTAGCAACCACTTTTAAGCATAGCTAAGCTACCCTCTGTGTCTCTTTCTAATGTAGTGGAGCACACTTGTCAGTAGAAATCGGTTTATCAGAGAGACAGGCATTTTATATATCTAAAACCACACAATCTTCTGGACAAAGGACAGAAAACACACAGGCAAATATACTGGGATTTTTTTTTTTTTTAGCTTACTTATATTAACTAATGGAATATGCGTACATCGCATGTGTGCAGCTTATGATGGTGATTGAAATTTGTTTATTTCTCTGTAGCTCTTCATATGACATAGACACACTAGAATAAAACCATTTAGGCTGTTTCCATAGCATTTTACTTGCAATCCAAGATCCCACACCATCAGAAGACCTCTTTTTCAATCTCTTTGGCCCTAGCCACCTTAACATTTGACAGTATCAAGAGGAAGCTAAATGGGAGCTCCTGGTGATGGTTAGACTTTCTTCAGTCACATGGAATTTAGCTGGCAGCATGTTGGCTCTTCAGATATCTTCTGGGAGCAACAGCACAATAGGGATGCCTTGCTCCTATTGTCACTCTGACTGTGCAGTGACAGGGAAGATGCAACAGTGTTATACAGAAGGGGTAAGTGTGTCCTTCTGGAGGAAAAGGAAATTGATTTCTTCATGGACAGTTAGTTGCTGGAAGAAGTAGTTTCAAGAACTAAAGAGGGTGGAGCTGTAGCATCAGGGCAGTGGGAAATAGTTGAGAAAAGCAGGTGGCAGACGCACAGCCAGTTTGCATTGCTGGTAAAAACATTTTCCATAGGCCCTGAGGCAATCATACAGCTTTGTAACAACTGAGGCAGCTAGACTGGAACCCCAAACCTGGAGGAACAGATTCACTCTGCAAAGGGACTTAATGTGCTTCAGCAAAAAATCTTGAAACACAAATGGTAAACTCTAATACTGAACTATGTATGCACATTGCAACAATGGTTGAATTACATTACAACAGGGGGGTTTTGCTGAAAAAGTAGAGTATAAATTCTTAATACATAATTTTCTAGCTTTTAAATAAAATAGTATGCAGTGAAGTGTTTCAGCAGTTGGTGTATTTTCATCCTAAACAGGAATATATTCAGATGCTAATGCCTCCATTAATCCAGAAGTGGAACATGCTAAAGGATGAAGATAAAGATCTCTTCCCTTTATTAGAGGTAAATGTTAGAATTGGAGGGGTTTTTTATCAACTTATTTTACAAATTACACTTCCTACTAAAGGTGCTCCTACTAGAAAGTAAGACTTAAAAGTTGAGTGTTAGGTATTTCCTTTTATGGAGAAAATATTCTGACTGTAGGAAGAAAATTTTGTGACTGAGGAAATGTCATTAGATTTAGATGAAGTCTTTTTAGGTTTTTCTTTTTTTGTTTTTTTTTTGGGGGGGTTGGGTTTTTGGTTTGTTTTTCCTGCCATTCTGGAGTGTTTGATGGGATTCTTTTAGAGGAAAAAATGTTCCATCCTTTTATTCTTGTTTTCTCTCTCCTTGCTCTCCCTTCATCCCTCCGTTAAAACTATTGTCAGACAAGCTGAAGGTATGAACAAGACCATGTAGCCTGTTCTCTATATTTTCCAAACCTGAAACAGGAAAGCACCTCTAGAAATGTTAATTTCATAACTTTTAGGTAATGTTAGGGCTTGTACATAGTCAAGATACTGAAGCTTAGTGTAAGCGCTGGCAGAATTACCATAACTAGTGTTGTATGCACTATATTGACTACCCCTAAGAAGATGATGCTGCTGAGAAATTCTCTCAACTGGCATACGTAGGAGAGGGTAACAACTTGCTGATAGTTGCCTTGACTCAGCGAATCGGAACTGCCTGTCTAGACTGTGTTTACTTAATCAGTTAAATGTGGGTATACTTAAAATACTAATATATTTAGCTTTTCCTAGTAAAAGGCACTTCAGGAATGTGAGGAAAGGTAGTGACTGTTTTCTCTCTTTTTTGTTAATTCTAGTGCCTGTCGTCAGTTGCTACTGCCTTGCAATCTGGCTTTCTTCCATACTGTGAACCTGTGTACCAGCGTTGTGTAAATCTGGTGCAGAAGACACTTGCACAAGCCATGGTATTTTTCTATTGTTATTCCAATGCTTTCATAGTATCTCCTTAAACTAGTATATGAACTATCTAAAGTTACGGGTTTGCAGAGAAATTTGTAGCGTAACTATTGAATATCTAAATGATGCTGTGGTTCTGAAACTTTTTTTTATGCATACCCCTGAGAAGAATGTAATACTCACTTTGAAGATGTGTACTTACTTGTTGCAGTTGCATAATGCTCAGCCAGACCAATATGAGGCTCCAGATAAAGATTTCATGATCGTGGCTCTTGATTTACTCAGTGGCTTAGCTGAAGGACTTGGAGGCAACATTGAACAGCTAGTGGCTCGTAGCAATATCCTGACACTAATGTACCAATGCATGCAGGTGAGATGAGTAACCTGTTTGCTCCAAGGATTTTCTTTCTTAAGAGAGTAAGAAACACATCTAGAGTTGTCATTTTTTTTTTCTTCTTCTCTTTAGGATAAAATGCCCGAGGTGCGGCAGAGTTCTTTTGCATTGTTAGGTGATCTGACAAAGGCGTGTTTTCAGCATGTTAAGCCTTGCATTGGTATGTTTCTTTTACATATTAAGTAATTGTCTTACAAACTAATAAGAGGCTGGTTTAGATATTGTTAAGCTCCTTTTCTGTGGGTTGCCTTTTCATGGTGTAAGTTTTCATTTTCCTTCATCTGCAACAGTATCTAGTCTTTTGTCTTTCAAATTGTGTGCTTAAAATGTTCTTATTTTTGTAGACAGTGCAAAAGTTCATTTTGTCCTTGATTTTTATAATGCAACAAGCTGCCTATTGTGCTGGAACACAGCAAAACAGATGTAGTTAGACTTCAATCAGAATGGTTGCTTGTTTTGATAAATTCTTGAATTTACGGCTTTTTGTTTTGTTTTGTTCTAGAATATGTTATATAAAATTATATATATAAACTAGAAAACTTGGCATGAAGGAAGGATTTTAGATTTTTTTTGCTCTAATTGTGTTAAGGAAGTATCATCAGTTATACATTTCCATGATGTTTGCTGGCTCTTCCCACAGATACTCTTGAGATACACTTAAATTGCCAAGTGAATACTTGGATAGGCTTGGAATTTAGAATTTATTTGGCTGGTGCTACAATCTATCATTGTAACTATTTTTTTCTTGAAATTTAATCAAAGATGTGGTTGCCTTCTAAGCTTCGTTATTTATTTTTTTTCCAAGCATAGCTGAATACATAGCTATCCAGGTGATTTGAGGGTTGTTCAACTATACTATAAAACTGCAAGTACTTGTAGCTGTTTTTTCTTCTTCTCTCTTGCCTGCACTCCTCCCACCCCAGCAAGGGACAGGGAGAGAAAAAGGTTTCTAGACTTACATAAAGCCTATTTTTAAACCATAATTTGAAAAGATTTGCATTGATCTACTTAGGTTCTAAAATCCAGGTTAAGCTGACATACAGCAGAAACATAGCTCTTGTAAGTTCATGTGTAATGCTTTCCAAGCGTTTAAATAGGCTTACATTATTTTTTGAAAAAAACTTCTTTTCCCCCACCACCACCATGATCTTACAGTAATGGGACAAGATGGTTGTATTGTGTGATGAGATTCTAAAATGTTGTTCTTTCTAGCTGATTTCATGCCAATTTTGGGAACCAACCTAAACCCTGAATTCATTTCTGTGTGTAACAATGCCACCTGGGCAATTGGAGAAATCTCCATACAGATGGGTAAGATGTTTTTTTCCCTTGAATCTCTGCACATTTAGCATGGTTTGTCTGGGTGTTGGGGAGGGGGAGGGAGGGGGCACTGTGATACTTTCATGTTAAAATTTTAATAAAATCTGAGATTCTTGTCCTTTTTAGTAAACTCAGTTGTGCCCAGTCTATTTAGATTATGCATATTAATGCTCATTTTCTTCTGAATCTTTTTTTTTCTTTGGCTGTTTCAGGTATAGAGATGCAGCCTTATATTCCAATGGTGTTGCACCAGCTTGTAGAAATAATTAACAGACCCAACACACCAAAGACGTTGTTAGAGAATACAGGTACCCAGAAACTGAACCATACATGGTGAAGGGAACTAGAGATTTTTTATAATTATTTTAAAACTTGCATAGGGCAACCATACCAGAACTGATTTTATTGCTATGTATTTGGCTATTATAAGCAAAAGCAACTCTGTTTTGCAGAAGTTCTTACAAGTCTCAGTCTTGAAGTAAACTATCTATCATATATCTAGATTCCTAAAGTTACTGCTTTCTCACTTTTGCAGTATTTATCTGTTTAAGTATTCTTCCAGTTTTATGTACTGAATTGACAGATGTATGCAGTAACACTTAAAGTCTTAGTTCACACTGATTTTAATATATGCATGTTCTTACATGTGTACTGTATATATATGTCTAGTTTTTGAAACAAATGTAATTGGCATATATAAAACAAATAATGAATTTCCTGAATTTACAAAAAATGCACTTTTTAATGAGAGAAACTTATAATATTTTGGTCAAAAATCTAGATCTGTGATGGCAATTTTACAACAACATAACTGAAATTATGTAAACTTTGTACTATCTGGTCACTTAATAACAAATTCCTGAAAAGAATTCTAATAGTGGCATGCATGTTTTATGTTCTGGCTGGCCCACAGCTTTGCCTTCCAAATTGGGAGCAATCCTCAAATGCCTTACTGAATTGAAATTTCTGAGGCTTGTTTCTTTTGCATTTATAGAGGGCATGTTCTGGTATAAAGAGCACCTTCCATACTTCAGCAAAACTTTATTAATAATTATGTTTCTGTTTACTATTTTACTAATTGAGACTCTCCCCTCCCACCCCGTCTGGTTGGAAACTGACTGTCTTGTCAGGAAATGATGGCTTAGTTATTATGCCTGACATGATTTGAAATTAAGCAAATACAGTGGTACAGTTGTATTTTTTTGAGCTAAGAAAGGGATTAATTGGAGAGAGATTTTTCAGTGCATATGGTTCCTCTGTTATTCTCTAAACTTATATGCTGCAGTTTCACTGTCCCTATTCCCTTCCCCCATTTAGTATGGAAGGTGAACTTAAAGGAAAAAATTACCTAGTTGCCTGGCATATTATAGGTACTACTTTCTACAAAGATAATTTTGGAGCAAATATCTACTTGTTGTGAAATACACCATGGAATAGTGTAACAATAAAAATTTTCTTTCCTCCCACCCCTGATCCTGACCCCCTTTCTCTGCACTAATGGATGTGTAACACCTATAACAGAGAGGCATCCAGTAGTTAAATGTTTGCTTCCATCACTGTTAGAGAATTTTTGGAAGCATCCAAACACTGACTCTTTTTTTTTCTTTTTTTTTTTTTTTTTTTTTTTTTTTTTTAAATTTTTTTTTATTCTCTGAGTAGTTACTTTAAATGTGGATGCATAACTGCAAATAAATGTTGAGTGTGGTGTATTTATTACAAGTTTGTTGTGGGATATTGTGCTGTGTGCCACTAGTATGTGTAAGAATATCCCTGTTTTCTGCTTTAGCTTCCTATGCAGTGAGCTATGAAAACACTTCTATGGAAGCATTAGACCACCTTAAATAAAAGTAATTGTGTATAAAATAACCAGTACATGCAAAAAAGTTGAGTTTTCACAGAGATTATTGTTCCTTGTACAGACTGTAGCTGTGAGGATTTACAGATAAAACTTAGTTTCATTTGAAAGTAGCACTTCAAATGCAGTTTTGTAAGTTAGAAGTGCTGAAGATTTTAGGCACTGTATACTGAAATTGAGTAACATCAGGGCAAAAAAGGACATTGCCAATGAGCTGCAGATCATGTGAAGTGAGTACATTTCAAATTGCTAGTATATCCTACACCAAACTCTTACTGGAGAAAGCATCATCTGCTTTATTGCATGTTTCATGAAACTGTTCACAAATGCCTGTTAATTAGAGTGTTGCATAGTATGTCCCTTGAACATAGGTTTCCTTTCTCTGCTTCATATAAATCTGCTGGATTTTAGTATTATTCATGTACTTGCTTCAAGTGATCCTGATACATTATTCCCCACCCTCTCCTTTTTCTAAAGATTAATCTTTTGTGAGTTGAGCAAACACCATTAAAACACATTTGTGTGATATTTTCCTTTAGTCTGTCCTTCGGAACAAAGGACCAAACTACCTAATCATGTAATGAAGCAATTTTGCTTTTCGTGTATCTTTATACCTTGGTATCAGAAGTGAGATTCTTATACAACTTCTGTGAGGAATCCCTTTGTGAACAGGAGAAATACTTGCATTAAAGAATTAATTTTTCTTGCAGTCCATTGCTGTGAGTTAGCAACCACTTTAAATTAAATCAGAGGATTTATGATATTATTTATAATATTGAGAAGACAAATATTTCATGCTCTTTGAGAAGTGTTTCATCTATCTAGCATTTTTAGACCACAATATTTTCCATGCAAAAGTATTTATAAATGTATCTTTACTTATATAGTAGACCTATTAAAATTTGAATTCTAAATATTGACCAAAAAGATGTTTGGAATACTTGAATCTGAAATTGAAAACTCTGAATTCCTTTTTATCAAGAGTGTCCATAATACTACATTTGAATAAAAGCTTCAAAATGTATTGTATGTAAATTTACTGTAAGAGATTACTCTGAAGAGGACAGAATGACCGCTTACATGAGAAAGCCTTTGGATTTTAAATTGTGTTTTTGGTGTTCTCTCATTTACTTCTTTAATTTTTCTTTTACCCTGGAGAGTATACCATATATGTTGCTGCCTCTTATTTAGGGGGTGGTAATAAACAGCACTGGTGAAATCTTATGTTTATTATCATACACAGATTCTGTTGGTTTCTGTTTCTGAGTTATTTGTTGTTTTTTCTTTATTTTTTCTCCTCCCCCCTCATTTGCTCATGTCTTGGTTGGCGTTTGGTGGTGTATAACCGTGATTGCGTTACCTTAGCAATAACAATTGGTCGTCTTGGTTACGTTTGTCCTCAAGAGGTGGCCCCCATGCTACAGCAGTTTATAAGACCCTGGTGTGTATTATTCAATCTTTTTTTTTAATTCATTTTTCTTCACTCTCTTTCTTTCTTTCTTTCTTCTCTCTATCTCACTTTTAGATATATTTTCAGTTGGTTAGAAAATCTCAATCCTTAATCATTGCCAACCATGTGACTAATCTTGTCCTATCAGGTTTGTGAGTTTTTAGTAGCACCGTCATGTATTCTTTATGTTGTGGCTAACGACTAATTTATGCATGGGATAAGATTGTCACATGCTTGCTGTGTTAAAGCTTGACTATGAAAGAGCATTTTAAAATCCACCAGAATGACAATACAGTGCATGCAAATACTGTAAAATTTAAACTGTGCATTACTTAAAATTCAGTCTGAGGCTTGAATTGCTGTAAGGAATATATGTTTATAGATTTGTTATGTATAAAATAGCTTGCTTGCTGCTGTAAAACTTAAATAACTGTTCTGTAAGTGGTATCTGACATAATTCATACTGTGATAGTATTATATGTCCCGCTTCTAATAATGATAGTTTTTATAAATATTCCAGATACATGTCTCTTTTGTATTTAATGGAATACAGGTCACACTTTCTAACTGTATATAGTGCAACAGGAGAACGAGATTCTGGAGATGATGCCTAATGGGAATTTACTAATAAAGTCTGTGCAACAAATGTTTTCTAAGAGTTCAAAATAGTGTTTCAGATCATCTTATCAGTGTGACTTATTCCATCAGATACCATCATCTAGCTCTAACTTGGTTGAAGAAAAAAGTAGTAGACTTAGTAGCTAAGTTTTGCTTTCCAACTTGCTAGGTGCACCTCTCTGCGAAACATAAGAGACAATGAGGAAAAGGATTCAGCATTCCGTGGGATATGTACCATGATCTCTGTCAACCCCAGTGGAGTAGTCCAAGTAAGATACATGAATAGATGTAAACTTGTTTTCTTTACTCATGCGAAATGTGGTGAAAGCTGTACATGGAGTGTGAAAAAAGTTTAACGTGATAAAGTTTAACTTGATGTGATTCCCAGCAGTGCATGATGTAGCCTTATTCTGAGGTCAAGGAGGCCAAAATGTTTATATTGCTAATGATACATATCAGGATGCTTAAGTAATTGTCACCTAGCAAATGAAAGTAGAAGAGTATTATTAAATTCAGATTTTGCCTTTTAATTACAAAGAATATGTAAGTAATACACTAAGGTTAAAATAACTGCATTTTTATACTTGTCAGATTGTAGTCAAGATCTGTATGATCAAGGCAGAAGTTGACGTACTTGTACCTATTTTCCATATGTAACCTAGGCTTTTAAAACAAGAAATGGGACAAAAACAGTAACCACCCCTTCATTCTTAAAACTTGAGTAGGGAATGTTCTGTTTCAACTTTGGAGATGTTGCTTAGTCAATGTGACAAGAAACATGCATCTCTTTAAAATAAAAGATACATCTGAAGAATAGAGTATGACTTGCTTTTTCAGTCTCCACACTTCCAGAGTAAAGTTGTACCAATGTAGTTGAAGAGTGAAAATCACCTCTTCCTCTTTTCTCAGAATTTCCCTCTGAATTTCCCTCTTTCTCTCTTTTCTCAGAATTTCCCTCTGAAATTCTTCGTGAAACACAGGAACACCTTGTTTTGAAATTTTCAGTTCATTTCATTTACTCTGTACTTAGCATTTTCCTCTTCTGCTGTCCATTTCTTCTTTCACATGCCATAAGGGGAAGGGATGATCAAGGATTCTTTTCATTATCCCATCTGTCTTTGTAGTTGTTATCCTCAGTACATACCCAAAAACATGGATATTATCAACTTGATGATTAAAGACTGGTGTTTTAATAGTGTACTAGGAGGTAATGCATGACAGCGGATGAACTAAGTATACAGGGATTTTGGGGTGGCTTTAGTTTTGAATCTTTATGATAAACATTCTCTGTATCCTAGAAAAATCTTTTGGCTCTGCTTAAAGAAACAAAACAGCTTTTTTTTCCCCGACTAGAAATGTGTGAGTGTTGCAACTGTGTTCTTGAGTTTGTTGCTGGTTATTAAGGTGATTGGTTCTTAAACTCCCTTGAACTTGAAAGAATTAACACTAGACAGTTGTGGTGTGGGAGGTGAGAGTTGGGGTTTCAACTGTGGTTTTATTTAATCAAAAACTTGATTAAACAAACCAAATCCTACAATCAGCTGTTTTATTTCTGAACACTTAGGCCTACAATAGCTTACTGTTATTGTCTGAATTAACTGGAAAACAAATACATAAAAACAAAAGCAGTTGTGAATTATGATCAAAGACCCTACACAGTTCATAGAATGAAATAAAGCATTGTTTTGAGACCTGTAAATTGAGATTTCTAACCTATGTGATTGTTTAATCTTATAGGACTTTATTTTTTTTTGTGATGCTGTTGCATCATGGATTAGCCCAAAAGATGATCTCCGAGACATGTTCTGTAAGGTAAGGTGTCTTAACATAACAGTATATCCTAAGAGTAGTTGTTTTGGATCCTTTGGTTTTTTCTTGTTTCTGTTGCTGCTGTTAGCTCTTTCTGTATTTGTGGTCATGGTGGTTTCTTTTCAAGGCCATACATTTTCAGACAAAACAACATAAAAATCCTGACTTTTCCCTAAAAAAACCAACAAAACAAAACAAAAAAACAAACAAACAAAAAAACCAAAACAACCCCATATTTTTAGATGTGCTTGTGTTATTCCAGATCTACTTTTTTACTTCAACAGTTTTGAAAAGTTCACTTGAGATCTTACTGTTGAAAATCCTCAAAGAGCTTTTCAGAATGTCCAGCCTACTATGTTTTGCCTGCTTTTGGAAGAACAAAAGATTTTTATACCACATATAAGACTTTGTAGAGAATGAGATTTGTATGGTTCAACGCCTCTTTGCCACAAAGATGTATAGTCTATTTTGGAGAAATGCCTAGAAAATTGCAAAATAAAAATATTCCAGTGGTATCTTACTCATTTTCTTACTCCTGCTAAAAATCAGTGTTTGTGATTGCTTAATACTCCTCTGAATCCTTCCTGGATGAGCAAGTTTCAAGAAACTAATGTAGAGCTATACTCAAGAATACATTCCTAGACAAAGTGACAAAAGAATTTGAGCAAAAGGTCTGCTCGACTTGTGTAAAGTAAGTTAGAAAGGCAAAAAAAACACCCAGCATGTAATATATTATGTTTTAGCTCTAGTGTCTCAGATCAAATAAATAAACTTCCATTTCAAGAACACATGCTGTTAGTGTTCAGTAGGATGACTTCCCTCACAAGCTGTAAAGTGAAACCTGCTTTTAGGAAGGTGTATGTCAAAAGTTCGCAATACTTAAAGCAAAAATGGAGCATATTCCTATACACTTACTAGGATCATGGGTCAGTGTTGCCACTTACTTTTCAAGTAATGCCATGTGTGAGCATCAGAACAGAAACTAGAACTTCCGTATCATGTCTTTAAGAGCAAAGATGAAATGTCGCTGCCCTAGTTAGCCTCTTGGATAACTGGTCTCCTTTGAAGGAATATCAGGTCCAGGAAATGCACAGCTGTTGAGTATTTTAGTATCAGCAGAAGGAAAAGGCAAATACTTGTAAGCTCAAAAGAAAGTCCAGGATGCAGTCTGTGGTGGTTGTGCAAAGCCATCTCAGTGAGTGTTTCTGCACTGGTCCTTCAGCGTTGGACACTTGCTTCACTAAGTTAGGCTCCTCTGTTTCAGATTCTTCCAAAGTTGTCTGTGTGGGATCTAATGCATTCAAACTAGACACAGTGGTTCTTCGTCATGTGGCATAAGGCCACCCTTGCTTTTTAAAGTTTATTCTGTTGTGCTTTTTACCATGCAGGAGAGGAGACAAAGCATTCTCGAAGTGAAGGCATGCACGTTTTTAGACTACTTCTTCATGAATACATACTGCTGTAGTCCAGTTAGGTGTTTTTACAGCAATAATTATGCCTTTCAGAAACAATGGAAAAAACCTGCTTTCCCCCCCCTTTAGCACTGGAGCTGAGAGAGAAAATACCACTTCCAAAAGCATGGGTAGATGAGCTGCCAGTCTTGAAACCTGATACATACCCTAAGAATTTTATTACTCTTACAAAAGCAAGTTATCTGAAGACTGTAGCTGAAGCTCACTTTCCTTAACTCTACTGGAAAATGATTTTAGTAGTGTTCCTTTTGTCATACCTAAATGTTCTTAGATTTTCGGTAGTTTCTTGGCAGCTGGCTAATCTGACTCTTCAGGTTAGGAAAGAGAGGTAAGCCTGCTTGTAGAAGGTTTCTTTCAGGGAGAAAAGCAGTAAGTTAACTGGTGATACTGTAATGTCTTTATCACTACGTCGTGTTGAAGAACAGCTTTCTTGAGAATGTTGTGTTGAGTGTGAACTTCGTATTGTGAGCCTTAACTTTTCTGCGAGGATGTGTTCATGACTGAGTATTCCACAATTTACTATCACTGACTTTAAAAATAAACCCAAAACTTTGGACTGTCATTGCATAATTTTCTATGAGGAGGAGCCATTTCATCTGGTTTTGTTCTTTCTGTTTGCCTTTCAAACTGCTGTTTTTAGAGCTAGCATACTAAGAACTTCTAACAGCATAATTTCATTTTCATGGTTTTCAGTTAACTTACTATGTTGGAAGGAAGGTCCGGACTGAAACCTGTAGGGGTCTTTTCCCTCTTTCACTGGCTTTTGACTACCCTTGACTGTGGATCCATGTTCTTTCGAAACTCAAAAAATGTTAAACAGCTTCCTTTTTAGTAAGAGTTGTCTTACAGGTTCCATTGTAAAAAAAAAAAATATAATAGTTCTACAGGATGCTTTTGTATATGTGCTACATATACAGGCATTCATTCTGTCAAACACTGGCTGCAGTTTTGGCTCAGCTTTCTTCACACAATGTATTATGCATTTAAAAAGGAAATGTGAATACAGTAATCTTAATGTATATAAACTGTGTCAGTTGGTAAAATGTATACAATTCTGAAACGGCCTAAGTAGGTTTTAAGTCACCTTGCTCATTAAAAAAATACATATAGATATGTAAACATAGAGTAATTTTTACTGTATATGTTGCTAGTAAATAATGTATTCTCTGTTTAGTGATTATCTGTACTTCCCCTCTCTCATTTGTAGATTCTTCATGGATTTAAAAATCAAGTTGGGGATGAGAATTGGAGGCGTTTCTCTGACCAGTTTCCTCTTCCCTTAAAAGAGCGCCTTGCAGCTTACTATGGAGTTTAACCTCATGCACTGTAGCTGCAGTCCCATAATTAGAGGTAAGCACAAAATCTTCCTTGCTAAACAGAGCTGTTTAACAAACTTCCTCCCTGTTTGCATTATATGAAACGTAAATAATCAGACTAGAATTTTCCAGATGTGCTTCCTATGAGAAGTTAAGGGAAAAAAAGGATAATAGTATACTTAAATGATGGTAGCTGTAGCGAAAGCAGTTGTCTGACTGACTTTATTTTTACAGAAAAAGAAAGAAAAAGTAAGTGTATGATATGCATGGTTCGTGCATCAAGATAAGTTTGGAAGTGTAGGTCTAACAAAGTGCCTGTTCAAGTTTAATAAGCAAAGTGATGAGTGTTATCCTCAAGTCATCATGAAAGATACGGGCTCCTTTATTTCTTATGAATTAGTAATGGCAGATGTGGTCCAAGCAGGAATATTCTTCTAGGATAGGAAAGCAAGTTTGCTAACACACTTTAGCCATAAGAAGTCCGACATAGTCCTAAACACATAGTAGATGACCTTTGCACTGAATAAAAGATGTTGTGCTGATTTTTAACTTTACTGTAACTGTAGACCTCGATGTTTTGGGGATTTTGATGTGTGTTATTGCCATGTTCCATATATGAAATAGTGTGGTAGTATATACTACCCAAAGAAGAGGGTGAATTGTTTATTCATTCAGCCTTTATATAAATTTGATGTTTGCTGTAGAATTTTTGTACTGAAATTATGAGTAAATCATGTAATTCTGTTTTATTGTTGAATGGACAACTATTTAAAAGTTAGCCTAAGATTTCTTCAAAGTCAGTGACAGAAGAAATCCTCTTTAAATTACTTGTTGATCTGAAAAATGGATTAAAAATAAACCAATTTCAAACATGTACATATTTTTCAATGAGGGCATTTTAGTTCTGTTGTAAGGGTGTTTTCCTACTAAAGAGGAATCCAAAGTGATAAAATCTGCCATTATTCTCAGTTTGACCTGAGCAGACACTATGCCTGTCTTGCTCAACCCACCTAAAAGTGAAGTTGTTAGTTCAGTAGCAGTTATGTTTAATATTCTTTCTCATAATTTTGTGCTAAAAATGGATAAGCTTGCTAGAATATATAGGACTGCTCTTATCTTTAAATCTAAGCTTAGCCACAATAGTGGAACTGTCATTGTAGTTTTAAAACGTGCATTGTTGTTTCATGAATAATAGTTTACCTGATATAAATGGGCTCTTTTCTTAACAGACTTAAAAAGGAAAATCTAGGCATAAATTTGTTTTGAAGTTAAAGGGTGGCACCTACTGCTTAAAAAAAGGCAAAAAAGCTCATTGTTTATTATAGATCTGTCACTTAGGTTCAAGGTAAGATTTAATTACACCTTCATCTTTTCCTTTTACAGGTCCTTCAGTCTGGGAGACTATGAGGGAGCCTCTGCACCCAGGGAAAATGTTACCCTTTACTGGGGGGAAGGGTAAACCAGTAGGGAATACAGTACAATCCCAACCCTACTGGGAGGGGCGGGAGGGAGGTGTTGCCGTCACTGTATTAAGTCGATGTTGGGAAATGTTTTAACATCTGGAGCCTTTGTGGGTGGAAATATGTCTCCTATTACAACTCTGCACTGGATGTGAAGAAGAAGAAAAAAAAAAGGAATCTAGTCACAAAACAGCACATTCTGGAATATTGTGGGGAATTATACCAAAATAAGAACCATATAATTGAACCATAGGGATACGTAAAGAGGAAAACTATTTTGCGCACAATAAAGGAAACCTAAGAATGGGGGTCACAAACAGTAAAAGGCTTTCTTTTTTCTTTTATGTTTTTTAAGTAAGGGTTTTCTACGTTATTTCATCCTGCTTGATGGGATTCCTAGGTATTTGCATGTTAATGAAGAACTACACAAATGAAGTTAGTACAGTTAAATTGCAGCTTGTGTCTGTGTTAGGAGCAGGCACTTGCAGTGTACGATATAGAAACCCCATCATAAAGTAATAAAGGTTAAGTTGAACAAAATGAAGCAACCTGCAAGCTGCCAAATGAGTCACTCCTTTCATGTTTAGGGTAAGGGGAGGGACACTTCAAAGGAAAGATTGACATTTTAATTTTACATTAAAAGAAGAATTAAAGTAGTGGATATGATTTGAGTATTGTACTTCATTAGATTTAATTTCTAGAGTAAGGCATTATTCTTAACGTGCAGTTTAAGGTTCAGGCATGCGTTCTGGCTCATAGTGATCAGAAGTAATTTAAATTAGTGGGAAAGTAGCATGCTTGCATCACATAGAGTGAAATTGGTATACATTTACCTATGTTGCGCCAGTTTTGTGTTGCATTTTACCAATTCAATATAGCCCTGCATTTAAAATTCCTTTTAAGATTCTGTGGATTTTATTTTTATTAAGAATATAGATATAAAGTACTGTAGTTAACAATTAGGCCTTGAAATACCTTTTTAGGATCTGTTAAGAATAAGATTGATATTGTATTGTGTGTAACCTGCACAATGTGGAAAGCTGATATAGCTGTGCAAAATACTTGCCTCTGTGCTGTCAGTGTGATGTGCTTTCTGCATGGTTATATACTAGTGATTTTATCAGAATCTCTAAAAATGAGTTACATGGTAAGACCCGTTAAAGGCTGCATAAATGTTAGTTGGCACGTAAAGACAATTGTAGAAGTTGATGACATGATTGCTATATTTGTGTTTATTCCCACTCAACATATTCTACGCTTTCTTTTTGTTCAAAGCATGATCTTAAAGAGATGTTTAAGTTGATGGATGTAATGCAGGGTATCTACACTGTATCGGCGCATGTTGGTGGCCCTTTGTGATGTAGTTAAATGCACAAGGGTGCAAGTTTAAAGCTACAGAGTGAAAGTTGGTTTGGATCCTCTTCATTTCATTTGTTTAGCTTTTCTGTTGTGGTTTTTTTTTTTGTTTTTTTTTGTTTTTTTTCCTCTACTTACATGTATTCCTGTGAATAAATCCTTGTTAAGTTAACCCTTTACTTTTCCTTCCATGTGTATTTTCTTATGTACTGTGAATGTGAAATCCTAACTGGTACACTTGATCTTGTGTCCATCTGAAAGTGGCAAGTCTTTAATAATTTAGATTGCCTAAAGAGTATCCCATGATGATAAAGGAAAATGGAGAGATTTTTTAACTCTGCTGGTCAGAGGTGAAGCCACACCTTTCCATTTTTCAAGTGCTGCATAATTAATCTGCAAAACAAAATTAAGCCATAACAGCCTTTTTGTAGATTTAGTTTCTCACCTTTGCATTGCAGAATGGATACTGGATAACAGTTTTGGGGGTTTTTGTTTGGTTGTGATTTGTTGGGGTTTGTTTGTGGGTTTTGTTTTTTTTCCCTCAAGAACTTGCTCTTTGCATGGTTCTGTTCTTTGACTGTTGAATGATTTAGCCATTGCACTGAAGTTTGAGCTGTGTGAGTGTGAACTTATAAATGCTGTTTAAAGAGGTTTGATTTTTTTATTTTTATTTTTTTTAAATGCATGGTAGCATGCATGTCTTACATGTCCCCCCACTTCCCCTCCCTGGGTTTTTGTTGGCTTGGCAAATTTTTAATGGGTTATGCCTGAAGAACAGTTCGGACATGTACTGTACGAAGTACATTCAGTAATGCTAATACATACTATTTATTCAATTTGGTCAAAAGTGCATGTAATAACTTGCTTTCAAATGGCATTGCTTTGGTAGCAAATACAAAATTCCTTCTTAACTAATAACTCTGAAGTTAATTAGTAATATTCACTAAAAACGCTTTAAAACCAAATTCTGGAAGGGAAGGGGAAAAAAAAACCAACCAAGTGTTTAAAATGTAGCAAGGTGGGATATTATTTTGGACCCAAACTTGCTTTGAGTGTGTTTGAACATTAAGGAAGAGTTTCAGAGAAATGATATTAAAAAGTCTGTGGAATAGAAAACATGCTTAAATAATACTGTAGCATAACAGCTAGTGAGTTTAACTAAACTTCTTAAATTTCAGAAAGCCCCTTTAACCAAATAAAACAACTCCACCTCACCTTGGGTTAGCTGAGGATGCCACTTTAGTACATACATATTTTAATAGGTATTTGTACAGATGTGAACTGATCTGGTATAACAGAGAGGAAAATAATTAAAATAAGGCAGAAATAAACAGTACTGACAAAATAGTCCTTTGTATCAGTAAGATCTCTCATGGTATATTTTAAAGCAAATAAACCATATTCCTAACACATAATATAGCACAGAGATTTGCAGAAGCCATTTAGGGTATAATGTGAGGTAAGAAAAGTTCTGAATCAGCATTAACGTTTATAATTCAATTATTGCATCATGGGATATATAAAAAGCATCTTAATTCTTGTGGTGTGGTCTTGACAGTTCTTGAATGTTGACTGAATGTTTATACTGGTAGAATTGTGAGTTTGTCTTTGTTACATTCCAGTGTTTCTGCCTCTTGGCATGCTAAAAGCACGGCTTACTTCATTTGCTCCTTACACACTGAATAGTGCTGTTAGTGTGCTAAACTACAGAAATAGCCGCTGCTAAGTAATGGTGTAGATTTTTTTACTTGAATATTTTTGTTGTAGGAACCTCAGGAGGTCAGTGTTTACTGTTTTTATATATGCCTTTTTCCTGTTTTAAGTTTCCCTTTTTGAAGGATTCTGAGAGTGAACAAAAGCTGCTGATCAACCTAAGTTGGTAACAGAAAGTGTATTGAAAATCCTTATAAATGCATCTTTTTGGCAGTTCTAAATTGCTGTTGAATTAGTCTTAAGTGAAGTTCAATGCTAAATTTTTTTCATTACACATTCAGGAAACAGCTCATTTCATTTAGGGGAAAAATATCAGAATAGTTCATTATTTTAACCAGTGCAAGCAAAAATAATAAATTTTGTAAATTTTTTCCAAAGCTTGATTATTTTCTAGATCAATGAATATGTATATATTTAAACTGTAATAAGCTAATTCTTATGCTTTAGTTTATTGCTCCTTAAAGGTTGTACTCAAAAGGTAACTTTTAGAAGAATGGGTTTAAAATTTATAATCATTATAATTTTTAAAACTTCTGAAGTAGCATAAATTTTGTAACTAACAAAGTGGATACACACTGTGATTTTTTTTTTCTTTTTTTTTTTTTCTTTTTTTTAGGACTTTTATGTTAGCATCAATCTTAATTACTTAGACTGCATATATTGTATAATAGTAAAATGTATATTTTAAATCTTCAAGTGGCTTTCCTCAAGTGAAACTCATTGCTATTTAGAAATACTCAAATACTACATTTATCTCAGGTGAATACTCTTGTACCCATTCTTTTTTTTTTTTTTTTCGTTTAGAACACATGCTAATAAAAATGTGTCTTAATTATATCAGTTCATGTATTTCATTTAGACAGCTCCTCTGTCTTAAACTTACTCTAAATGAACCTTCTACTCGGGACAGTAATGACTTTTGCTTCACCTGTTTTATTCATATTGAATGTATTAACAGAAAAGGTGCAAAACCATTCTTCCCCCGAGGAGAATGCATCCATATTCAAAGAACTGAAATACTTTATTGGAAAATGCTTTAAATGCAACATTATATTGGAAATCATTTGTTTCTGATTTTGTCAAGGGAAGAAGTTGCAACTTAACACTAACTGCTTCAATACTGTCTTTTTTATGGGGATGATAGATGCGTAAAGCTTCTATATAGGGTTTAAAGAGTAAATTTTTGTCTTAGATAAAGGTAAAGCTCTACAGTGAAATGGCAAAACATTCTGCAGTTATCTCAGATGCTGGTGTAGTTTGCATACATATTTGTTATATATTACATAAGTATTTCCAGTAACCTCATCTTGACTAAATAAAGCTTGATCAGTAGCTGTGTGTTTTACTCACCTATGCATTCTCCAGAATGACTTGCATCCATCAGTCTTCTAGGTATTCTTCTCCAATCGAAATTTTGTGATGCAAGCTGATGCCTACTTTTTGCACTTAATGATTGGAGCAAGCCAGCTTTTTTAAGTGGGATACTGAGACAAGTACTCTTGTTGCTCGCCCTGTAGAGTATATTCTGCTAGTGTATCCAGGATACTTGCTCACTTGAATGTACTTAGATGAGGGAAGTTTAAAATGGCTCTACAAGATGAATCCCTTTATGGCGTTACAGTATACTTAAAGTAAGCCAAATCCACATCTCAAAGAATTCAGCACTTACAGTACAGTATCATTTTTCTATAAGCTGCTTTTATTGTGCTACTTTTGCCTTGGGTATCTATTTCCTTATCTTGGGTGAGCAACAAAATTGAAAAGGCCCAGGTGTTTTTGGTGAGGACAGTGATTAGAAAAAAGAAAAAAAGATTGGTATGAGCACATTCATTTGGCTATTGAAATCTCCAGAGTAATATTATCTTTTTTTCATGGGAAGAGATAGGTAGTTACGTTGTACGTTGTCTGACTTTCTAATACTAGACATGTCTAAAATTTCTAATTGGATGCAGTATACAAAATAGTTTAAAATGAAAGGTGACTGGATCTTTCTGCTGACAACTTAGGTTGTATGAGTTTTGCTTGAAAGCTTTAAATCCGATGTGTCTGTATCTGCAACAATGTTGGAATGTTTCCTTCAAACATATCCTCCTGCAACCTCTCAAACTGTACTAAATTTGAGTGATATTTCTTGAAGTCTGCCTATGTGCTAACAGTACTTCATTTTAAATAGAATATGGTTTTAATTTTTGATAAGCTGCTGAATTTTAAAGAGTTTTTGGGGCCACCAAATATTTTGGATCATGCAGAGAATATATATTGTACTGTAGTAATTTTGTATTTACATTTGTATGATGTGACATAATAGATGTGAATGTTAATCACTGCTTGACTATGTTAATAAAGTTGTTTAAATATAGATGTTGCATTCCAATTTTTAATGAGAGATTAAATTTTCATATTAAATTTATGTTTTGCCTGACCCAGTAGTGCACTCTTCTGGTTCACGCATGCAAGTTCTGCAATCTCTTGCATAAGGATTTATATTTTACCTGAAAAAAAATGATCTTTGGATAATTTAAGGAAGTCAGTTCAGTTTAGATGCTTTATGCTGGCAGATCAGTGTATAAATAGGAGTGTTGGGTGATAACTGGTAACTGCTTTACTACTAAGAAATGCTATATTGACTGTATTTTTGTTTGACACAGCTGATGTTTGCTAAGTCTGACCAAATTGGGGTGGGAAACGGGGGGAAGGGGAAAGGAGGGGAAGGGAGTTATTGTTTGTGCTATCAATAATGTGAATAAAAAAGGAGCTAACTGGAAATAAATTAAAATTATTCAAGACCTTGTACCAAAACTTGAAGTGGTCTTAGTCTAATTTTATCTAGCTTTTATGGGACTGTGGTATTACCAACTATTAAAGATCTGCCCTTCATTTATATAACTTTCTGATACAGGAGTCTCTAAAATGGAAGTATGAAACTAACAGTAGTAGCTCTCTGGACAAAATCCACCCATGTTGATTTGAACGTTTTATGTTCATTTCCAATATTTAGCAGTTGGTCAGTAGCATGGAGACAATTCAGACAATTGCAAGTGTCTAGCACAGCTTCCAGAGCGTAATTATTAAATTCATTAAACTACATCATTATAATTACATATTAATAAAATATGTAGTAAAAATTAATTGCTGCATACTCAGCTGAAAGTCTGCTTAATGAAGGACTTTGATTTCTGGCTCTGGAAAGGGGAGAAGGCTGTGGGATATCTGTTAGCAGCAGTGTGGGTGTGTAGAAACCAAGTTGATTAGCAGAGGGAGAGCTCCTGCTGGCTGAGCGTATCAGCAGCTGTGTGGGATGGCATGGGAGTACGTTTTGTTTTCCTTCCAGTAGCCCTCCCCATAACTGTGGGGTACCAAGGACAGAACATCCTGCTGTCCAATGCTTTGTTCAAGTCTCCTGCTACTGGCTTATGGACGGATCTTAAGCTGTGGCCTCTAATTTTGAGTCTGAGGTTAATTACTA